GCAAAACTGTGTTTTTTACAAAGATACAGTCCACTGGAATCACCAACACTGGATAGCTGTTAGAGTATTTAGAGTCTTGAGATAATACAGAATCCGGGCATCCTTAAGACAGTCTTCTGTTGTCCTTTCTTCCCAATCAGACATTTGTGAATGTGTGGAATGACACCACCACCAGAAATTGTAGCCTTGAGGAGAGAGACCAATTCCTCATCCCCATGAATAGCAAGTTGCAAGTGATGAGGGGTAATATGCTTTACCGTTATGCCTTTTGATCCATTTCCTGCCAGTTCAGGTACCACTGCAGTGAGGTACTCCAGGATCACAGTGTTGTACACAGCAGTAGTCACACCCACACATTCATGGCTGGTCATCCTAAATTTCAGGTGTCAATGAATGCTGCCCATTGGGAACTGGAAACCAGCTTTCTGCAAGTAGGAAACTGCCTTTGTCTTTATCTTTCCTAGCCCTTCCCAGCCTTACTGCCAGCCATTTCTAATGTTGCTGCAGCTCACAAAAGCAAGACAGCAAAAGGGCTTGTTAAACACACAGCGAGATACCACCACTTACTCTTTCAACACATGGTGATTCAGTGATTTGAAGTGCCCTTCAATACATTTTTTAAAAGAGGTTTTTGCCTTAGGGTGTGTGTGCTGCTGGAGAATGAAAAAGACAGAGACAGTGAGAGGGAAAGTGAGAAATCATCCCTTAGAGGTGATGGACTTGCTGCAGTCCCTTCTCCTCTATTTTCCTCCTGGAGACTTGGACACACACATACATCCACCTGGCGTGATTTTGAAGCCACCAGTCCAGTGACCGTAGCTTGCCATGTGGGATTTCAGTGATATAACTGCTACACCATCTGCTCATCCTGCCTTCCATGAGAGAGAGAGAGAGAGCTCTTTGCTAAAGGATGTGTGTGTTCTCTGTAGAGACAGAGAGACAGAAATTGAGAAATCACCCATCAAGGGAATAACCATGCTACAATCCCTTTTCCTCCATTCTCCTCTTGGGATTTTGGGCACTCACACACATGCATGTGGGGTGAGTTTCAAGCCACTGGATCTGGGACTTAAACCATAGTCAACTGCATGGGAGTTCAGTGACATAACCATTACTCCATCTGCTGGTCCCAACAACACTTATTCCTTCTTTTGCCATAGGGTGGGTACTACCATGCCCTTATTCCTTCTTTTTTAAATCTTGGCCATTCTGACAGGGGTAAGGTGGAATCTCATTGTGGCTTTGATTTGCATGTCTTCTGTGGTAAGGGATATTGAACATTTTATCATATGCTTTTCAGCTGTTCATATATTTTCTTTGGACAGCTGTGTGTTCAGCCCATTTGCCCATCTTTTAATTGAACTGAATATTTTTTGTGGGTAAGCTGCTCAAGTTCCTTGTATATTTTGGTTATCAGTACCTTATCTGAGGGAAGAGTTTGTAAATATGTTCTCCCATTCAAAGAGTAATATCTTTATTCTAATTATTGTTTCATTTGCAGTGCAGAAGCTTTTTAACATGATATAATCCCACTTGTCTATTTTTAGGATTATCGCCTGTTCTTTGGGGCTTTTATTTAAGAAGTCTTTGCTTACTCTGATGCCTCCACATTTCCCTGTGTTTTCCACTAGTAGTTATATAGTTTGATATTTTGTGTTTAGATCTTTGATTTATTTTGAGTTTATTTTTGTTAAGGGTGAGATATAGGGGTCCAGTTTAATTTTTCTGCAGGTGGACATACAGTTTTTCCAGTACCATTAGCTGAAGAGATTTTCTTTTCCTCATTGGATCGTCTTATGTCCATTGTCAATAATCAGTTGGCTGTATATTTTAGGGTTATTTCTGCAGCCTCGTTTCTGTTCTATTGGTCTATGTGCCTATTTTTGTGCCAATATCATGCTGTTTTGATAATCACTGCTTTGTGATATATTTTGGGGTGAGGGAGTGAGAAGCCTTCTACTCCCTTTACAGGGTCTTTTATAATTCCAGACAAATATTATGATTGTTTTTCTAAATCTGTAAAGAATATCATTGGTAATCTGATTGGGTAGGCATTTAATTTGTAGATTAATTTGGATAGAATTGACATTTTGATTATATTAAGTCTTCCAATCCAGGGACATGGGATATAGACACACTATCTCTGGTGTCTACAATTGTCTTCCATTCCTTTCCCACCCACATTGTATTGATCACACAATTGCCTACATAATCTAACTACTTTCAATGGTGAGTTCACTCATTACTATTAAGAAAACCAGTTTTAACTTAAATCAATGAATTATCAAGGAACTTTGCTTAAAGCCAGGATACAGGTTAGGATTCTGTTCAAATGGTAGGTGCATGAACCTATCAGTCTCATGTACTTTTATCTTCTGTTCTGGTTCAATTTTCCTGATTAAATTCTGGGATATAATATTCAACTCCAGACATTGTCCCTACAATTAAGTTGGCCACTTTCTTAGTTTTTGAACTCTTCTTTCCGTATCCGTATTTAATTTTCCTGATTCAGCACACCCTTGAGAACTTCTTGGAGATCTGGTCTGGTGCTGGTAAATTCTTTCAGGTTTTGTTTATCTGAGAATGTTCTTGTCTTTTCTTCCCA